GCGTGTCATCATCAATGCTGCGCACTACCTTGTGCTGGGGGACAAGGACACATACCACCACGACCCAGCTGCACCGTTCCTTGGCATGGTGAGCAGCACCAGCCCCTGGCTCCCTGCACTCTGGCACACTGTCTCCCCATGCCCCTGGGAGCAACTCCGTGCTGCAGAGGCCAGGAAGAGAGCCCCAGATTGTGCCCATGTCCTTGGGCCCAGCTAGCAGAGGCATTGGGCACACCCCAACTCTTGACTACTCTTCCCCAGGACGAGACACGCTCCAGCCAGGACTCTCTCCCAGAGAGGACAGTGGTCAAACTGGGCACCTCGCCTCGGTAGGCCCTCCTGCCTTGCTCTGGGGACTTACGGGACTGTGGGGAGGCAGTGAGGGAGTACTTGTGAAGCTGTGGGTGGGTGCAGTGGATCTGTAGGTAGTGTGGGATGGGACATCAGGGATGCTGTGAGGCTGGGATGCCAGCCCTGTGTTACCCCCCACAGGTTCCTGGTGGTGTTCAACCCGCTGGAGCAGGAGCGCCTGAGCGTGGTGCCAGTGCTGGTGGACTCCCCGCACGTGCGCGTGCTCTCCGAGGAGGGGCAGCCCCTGCCCTGCCAGCTCAGTGCAGTGTGGAACTCTGCCACTGATGTGGTGCCCAATGTCTACCAGGTATGGGGTGCCCCACACCCACAGCCCACCTGTGCCAGCCCCCCATCCTGCACACTGCCAGGACACAGCGGCAGCCCTGCTCTGTCCCTGCCCCACACCACGAGATCCCACAGCTGCTGAACCCCCAGGTCCCCATGTGTGTCCCTCCTCAGCAGAGGCCCCGCAGTGCTGAGCAGGGTCCTTGCCCCACTGACGCCCAGTCATTCCCTAGACAAGGGGGCTGGCTCAGGTCCCCATGCTGCCTGCAGGTGTCTGTCCTGGCCCGCCTGCCTGCACTGGGGCTGCGTGTGCTGCAGCTGCACAAGTCCTTGGATGGCCATGGCACACCAAGGTCCTCCACGCGCCTGTACCTGCACGGCCGGGACGTGCCCGTGCGCAAGCCCGAGGCTGTGCCCCTGCGTGTCTTCCCGGCTGCTGCTGATGACTTCTGCCTGGAGAACCAGCACCTGCAGGCCTGCTTCTTGGGGCGCACGGGCCTGCTGCAGGTGAGTGCAGGGCTCTGAGAGGGCGGGGGGTGGAGGAGGGGAGGGGTACATCCTGCTGCTTCATGCGCTTACTGCTGTGCCGGCACACACCTGCAGAGCCTGCGCCTAGCTGGGGAGGAGCAGGGGCACAGGGTGAGCAGCGAATTTCTCGTCTATGGCACCAGGACCTCCAAGGACAAAAGTGGGGCCTATCTCTTCCTGCCTGACGGCGAGGCCAAGGTACAGGGTCCACCTGTGGAAGCCAGCTGACAGCTGTGCCCGTAGGACTGTCCTCAGGCAGCAGCGTCAGCACAGCTATCCCTCTCCCCAGCCCTACGCTCCCAAGGACCCCCCAGTGGTGCGGGTGATGGAGGGACCCCTCTTCTCAGAGGTTGCCAGCTACTACCAGCATGTCCAGACCGTGGTGCGGCTGTACAACGTGCCAGGTGAGATCCTGAGGCTGTGCCAGGTGTTGCTGGGCCAGGGAACTGGGCCATGCTGCCCTTGGGGCTCAGCCCTTCACTGCCCACCCACAGGGGTGGAGGGCCTGTCCCTGGATGTGTCCTGCCTGGTGGACATCCGTGACCACATCAACAAGGAGCTGGCCCTGCGCTTTAGCACTGACATTGAGAGTGAAGACACCTTTTTCACGGACCTCAATGGTTTCCAGGTATGCAGCAGGCTAGGGAGGGACAGCAGCTGCCCACAGGGGGACAGTGCTCTGGCACCAGGCACTGTGGGATCCACCTCTGACCACTGATCTCTGTCCCATGGCAGATCCAGCCCCGCAGGTACCAGCAGAAGCTGCCGCTGCAGGCCAACTTCTACCCGATGCCTGCCATGGCCTACATCCAGGACATGCAGAGCCGCCTGACACTGCTCACAGCCCAGGCCCTGGGGGTCTCCAGCCTCCACAGCGGTGAGCTGGGGTCTGTGCCTTGGGGACCTGCTCTGCAGCTAGGGCTGTCCTGCCCAAGGGAATCAGGGCAGGAGGGTGCTGCAGGCTGGGCAGGGTGCCCCGGTCCTGCTGTCACGGGGCTCTGTGCTGTGGGGTGTGGCTGGCGCCTGGTGCCAGGTAAAGCCTGGGCTGCAGGGACTTGCTCTCCACAGGCCAGCTGGAGGTGATCCTGGACCGGCGCCTCATGCAGGATGACAACCGGGGCCTGGGCCAGGGGCTGAAGGACAACAAGCGCACCTGCAACCGGTTCCGGCTCCTCCTGGAGCGCCGCAGCACTGCCAACAAGGTGCTGGCTGAGAGGCAGCAGGACGGGAGAGCCCAGCCCTGCCTTGGGATGCAGCAGGGTGGAGGCGTTTGCAGAAAGCCACTCGTGATGGGATGCGGTGTCCTCTCCCCTCTTGTCCCGTTGTGCTGGCACTGGGCAGGGATGGGCCTGGAGCAGGGGGCATGGGGAGAGCAGGATGTGCAGTGGGGTCTGTCCCTGTGGAGCCACGTTGCCCTCATAATCACAGTGTTCTTGTCCAATCCCCTCGCTGCCCTCTATGCGTGTGCTGTGCCACCCATCCAGAGCTCCGGCTTCTTTTCCAAACTGGTCTCCATGTTTAAAGCCTTGAGCTTCCCTGGCACCAGGACTGGCAGCCCTGAGGTAATGGCCAGCCTGGCCCTGCTGACTCTCCCTGTCTTGTGCACTAGCTGCTAGCCACTAGTCTAGCCAGGCTTGTAGCAGGTGTGTAGCCTGACCATCAGCTAGCCGGGTCCTGTTTGGGTGCTGGGGCGGGGGGACCTGCCTGGGCAGGGCAGCTCTGTGTGCACTGTGCTGGCAGGTGCCCGCTCTCAAGGCACTGCTGGAATGGAGGTTCTTTGGGCTCTGCCTGGCTTCCTGGGCTCACACTTGACCCATGTGCTGCTTGGCAGGTGCAGGATGAGCGCCCCATCAGCTTCCCCTCCCTGCTGAGCCACATCACCTCTGTGCACCAGAATGCTGAGGCCTTGGTCATGCCAGTGGCACTGGAGAAGCCGGCCCTGCCAGCCCTGCGCTCCTTTGTGCCCCTTGCCACCACCATTCCTTGCGACTTCCACATCCTCAACCTGCGGATGCTGCAGGCCGAGGTGAGCCACGGCCCGGGGCAGTGGGACTCTGGTGGGGGTCTTGCCCCTGCTGCCCCCAGTGTTGTGCCTCACGCTCCAGCTCCCTGCAGGATGAGTCGCTACCATCAGCTGAGGCAGCACTGATCCTGCACCGCAAAGGCTTTGACTGCAGCCTCGAGGCCAAGAACCTGGGCTTCAACTGCACCACCAGCCAGGGCAAGGTAGGGCCAGGCTGCCCCCACACCTCGGCTGGGTCAGAGCTGGGCTGGGACCTCGGCACGGCAGTCATGGCACGTGTCAGGCTGTCCTGGGCACAGTGCTGCCCCAGGCATCACATCCTCACCTGGGCCTCCCTGCTTCTTCCTCCTCTCTCCCCAGCTGGCTCTGGGAGGCCTGTTCCAGGGGTTGGAGCTGGGCTCCCTGCAGCCCACCTCACTGACACTGATGTACCCGCTGGGCACAGCCTCCAACAGCACCAACATCCACCTGGACCCCATGGAAATCGCCACGTTCCGCATCCGCCTGGGGTAGTGTCCAGCAGGAGAGGAGTGGAGCGGCTGGACAGCGCAGGAGCAGCACCAGTGCAGCAGTGGAGCGGGGCCAGCACGGGCAGGAGGGGCCAGACTGGCAGAGGCTGCTGCTGCCATTTTCTAATTTATTAGTTCCATGTTCTCAGATAGATTTTGGAATGAACTGCTGTGGCAGGGCTGGAGCAGACGTTGCTGGGCACGGTGCCGGATGGGCCGAGCACGGCTGGGGAGGGCTGCAGGCTGGGCTCTGCTGCTGCTGGTGGGACAGACACTGCTGCCCTGCCACAGGCAGGCTGCCCAGGAGGGTGGCCACCCTGATGGCTGGGGCAGGGGCCCATGCAGGGCTCCCTCTGACTGACGGGGCAGCAAGGGGAGGCCAGGAGCACCGGTGGTGTTGGGCAGCTGCCTGGGGACGTGCTGTGGACTTGGGACTGACCTCTCCTGGAGCTCACAGGAAACACAAGGCTGTTTCCAAGGGCCCTGGTGTATGCGTGGTTTGTGGCTCTCACTCAGGGGAGTGGGAATGGTGTGCTGTGGGGAGACAGGGCAGCACTGCGAGGCAGGTGGAGGCCAGCTTGAAGATGTGGCCAGGAGCCCCCGGCACCTGTGAGAGGCTGGTGGCATGGGCAGGCCCAGCTGTGCTTGGGGGCAGGCAGTGCCTGGTGCTGGGCAGGAGCCAGGGGGACGGGAGTCAGCTCCTTGTACCTCCCCCAAACCCAGAGCGTTTAGCCCCTTTTCAGAGTGAGCCTGGTGGCCTGCTCTGCTGGAGCTGCAGTGCCTGAGTCACAGCTCATTACAGCGTGTCCCCAGAGCATCCTCCTGGTTGCTGTGGGAACCTCAGGCCATATTTCCTGGCCCCCTGGGGCTACTTACTGCCAACAGGTTCCAGCAGGGAGGGCCTTGGGAAGGACTGGGTGAGGTGGGGAACTGCCTCAGCTCTGGCTTGGTTGGGTTGGACTGGATGAGCTTAGAGGCCTTTTCCAGCCTAAATGGTTCTGTGATTCCACGATTCCTGCACAACCCCCAGCACATCCACAGTCCGTGGGTTTGGCCCCTAGAAGCTAAGCCCCTCGCTGTGCTTGCCCTGTGCCCTGGCCTGGTCCAATGTCCTTTCAAGGACTCCCAGGATGGGTCCAGGTGCCCAACTGGGGCCCTGGACACGGCAGCTGGTGCCTTGCATCCAGCTGGGGAAGGAGCCTGCCGTCCTGCTCCTGCCCCAGAAGCTCATTACTGATGCTCCCGCCTCCAGCCCGGTCCCTGTGGACAGGGGAGTGCAGGAGGCTCTAATGGCTCTGAGCGGCTCTTGGAGCTGCGATGGAGGCGGGAGCAGGAGGGGCTGTGGTTTCTGCCTCCACTGGAGCCAGAACTGCCTCTGCCCAGGGCTGGCCGGGAAGATGCTGCATGGGCACCTGCTCCAGCTGCTCCTTACCGCGGCTCTGTTCCCCAGCATCCTTGGGACAGGTACAGCCCCTTCCCGCCCCTCCTGTGCCCTGAACCCCGCCCTGGTGGGGCCTGGTCCCTTGAGGGCTGCTCCCCGACAGCCCGGAACAGAGGTGGGGGCGTGTGCTGGGAGGCAGGGGTCTGCAGTGAGAGCTGGTGCTCCTTACTGGGGGTGGTGGCCCAGGTGTGGTGCTGCTGGGGTTACTCCCACTGCAGCGCATCTGTGGGGTCTAAGTGTCCCCACAGGGACAGGGAGGGGGGTTCAGCAGGGGGCTGACCTGATGTCCTGGGTGCTTTCCCCTCCTCTCTGCCAGCCTTGCCCACGTTTGCCCTTGCCGAGGGTGAGCACTGGAGGTCACGGCGTGCACAGGGCAGTGCCAGGGGGGGCTCTGCTCGGCCACTGCTGCCTCGTGGGGTGTAGCCCACTCTGAGGGCTGAGCCCTGTGCCCCGTTAGCCAGGCTCCCTGGGCCGGGGAGCCCAGCCCAGCGCAGCCCTGCTGCACCACGGCACAGACCATGTCGCTGGAGCTGGCAGCCTGTCCCACAGGCCCTGCAGTTTCCGTGGTCCCTGCCCTCCCCAATGCCCTGCTCCCCGCTGCAGTCCTGCTGCAGAACCTGCACCTCTGCGAGGGCTACGTGGGCCCTGATGGGCGCTCCCACCCCGGCTTCTACTGCCCGCGGCTGACGGACCCGCCCGGCCACCGCTACTGCTGCCAGCCCGGCCCGGACGCCCTCAAGGCCTGCTGCTCCCAGCTGGCGCTGGAGGCCCTCACCGGGGTGAACCTCTCCAGCCTGGCTAGCCCCGGCCTGCTGCGGTGAGCGGGGCTGCAGCCGGCTGTGCTGCTGAGGCGGGGGCAGCCCGGGCGCTGCTGCCGTGCTGGGCAGGCTGCGGTACCCTCCGGGCCCTCCGCAGTCCCGCAGCGCCAGCAGGGCACGGCACGGCTGCCCCCCCTGAAGCACCAAACCCCGCAGGAACCCGCTGGCCCTGCCTGTCGTGGGGCTCTACGGGCTCCTTGTGCTCCTGCTTATGGCCATCGACCTCTGCCACTTCTACCGGACCCGCCGGTGCCAGCTGAGCCGCCTGCTGCCCTGTGCCTGCCGCCGGCCCCGCCAGGGCTGCTGAGGGGCGGCACGGCACGGCTGGGGGACACGGGGGTGCCGGGGGCACGGGGAGCGCTCACAGCCCGGGGGGCGGCGCGGCTGGGGGACACTCGCACTGCGGGGTTAATAGAGGGGACACTCGCACTGCGGGGCTAGCACGGGGCTCTACGGGGGGACACGCTCTCCGGGGTTAGCACGGGGTTAGTACGGGGGTACACACTCTCTGGGGATAGAACGGGGCACTACGGGGGGACACGCTCTCCGGGGTTAGCAGGGGATTAGTACGGGGGGCACTCGCTCTCTGGGGTTAGTACGAGGGGACAATCGCACTGTGGGGTTAGTAGGGGGTTAGTACGGGGGACGCTCTCCGGGGTTAGTACGGGGTTAGTACGGGGTTAGTACGGGGGTACTCGCTCCCCGGGGTGCGGTGGGAGGTGCGGGGCACACACTCCCCGGGGCTAGCAGGGGGCGGTACCGGGGGACACTCGCTCCCCGGGGTTAGCAGGGGGCGGTACCGGGGGACACTCGCTCCCCGGGGCTAGCAGGGGGCGGTACCGGGTACTCGCTCCCCGGGGCTAGCAGGGGGCGGTACCGGGTACTCGCTCCCCGGGGCTAGCAGGGGGCGGTACCGGGTACTCGCTCCCCGGGGCTAGCAGGGGGCGGTACCGGGTACTCGCCCCCCGGGGCACACACGGGTCACACGGGGCTGCCGCGGTCGGCGCTGGCACCGCCGGGCCGCGGGGGGGCGCTGCAAGCTCGGCCCCGCCCTCTTCCGGCCGCGCCCCGTCACGTGACAAGGGCGGTGGCGTCGGGGTTCCCCCGGCGATTGGCGGTGACGTCACGGGATCGGCGCGATGGAGGAGCCGGTGAGCGGAGCCGGGCGGGACCGGGACGGGACCGGGACCCTGGCCCTAGGGGGGCTCTGTCCCCGGGGGGGGCTCTGTCCCGGGGGATCCCTGTCCCGAGGAGTCCCAGTCCCGTGGATCCCTGTATCCCTGTCCCGGGGGGCTCTGTCCCGGGGGTCCCTGGATCCCTATTCCCGGGGGTCCCTGTCCCGGGGGTCCCTGTCCTGAGGATCCCTGTCCTGGGGGTCCCTGTATCCCTGTCCCGGGAATCCCTGTCCCGGTATCTCTGTCCCGGGGGTCCCTGTCCTGGGGGTCCCTGTATCCCTGTCCCGAGAATCCCTGTCCCGGGGGTCCCCGGATCCCTGTTCCCGGGGGGTCCCTGTCCTGGGGGTCCCTGTGTCCCTGTCCCGGGAATCCCTGTCCCGGGGGTCCCGGTATCCCTGTCCCGGGGGTCCCGGTATCCCTGTCCAGGGCTGTGTCCCAGCCGGTGCCCCTCGGCAGGTGACGGCGGAGCAGCTTCGGGCGCGGGGTAACGCGCTGTTCCAGGCGGGGGATCCCGGAGCCGCCCTGGCTGCCTACACGGAGGCTCTGAGCCTGAGCGACGCCGTGTCGGAGCGCGCCGTGCTGCACCGGAACCGGGCCGCGTGTTACCTGAAGCTGGTGAGCGCCGGGCGGGCGCGTCCCGCGGCCTGCAGGAACCTGCCCGGCCTGCTGGGGCTGTTCCCAAGCAGTCACAGTGTCTGATCTCCGGCAGGGCATCTGTGTCCGGGCAGGGGGTGAACGTGAGGAACTTAAGGGCTTGAGTAGACCAGAAGTGCCTGAAAAGCACCGGGGGCCGAAGGGCTCCTTGCACACCCTCTGAGGGTTGTATTCTGGGAAAGACAGGGTGTCCCACTGTGCTGGCTCACTGTCTCCAGTGATGCTGTTCCCATCCCCAGAGTTAGGGGTGTGGGCTGCGTGGGGCTTGTGCCAGCAGTGCTCAGGTGTTTTTCCCTCCTGTCTCTCCACAGGAGGATTACACCAAGGCAGAGGCTGATGCCACCAAAGGTACTGTGGTGGGGCGGGGGGCGGGCGGGGCGGGCCGCGGGCACTGACTGACCCCTGTGTGCAGCCATCGAGGCTGACGGCCGGGACGTGAAGGCGCTGTTCCGCCGCAGCCAGGCGCTGCAGCAGCTGGGCCGCCTGGACCAGGCCGTCAGCGACCTGCAGCGCTGCGTCAGCCTGGAGCCCCGGAACAAGGCCTTCCACGAGGCCCTGCGCGCCCTGGGCAGCAGCATGCACGAGAAGGTCAGCAGGGGGGCACTGGGGGCTGCGGCCCGCTGTGGCTGGCGGGGGAGGTGGGCAGGACTGAGCCACTCTTTCTGCTCTCTTGCAGATGAAGGCCATGTCCTGCACGGACTCGAAAGTAGAGCAGATGTTCCAGATCTTGCTGGATCTCGAAGAAAAGGATGCGGACAAGAAGCAGAAAGTCTGAGCTCGGGGAGCGGGGCGCGGTGCTGTGGCTGGGAGGACAGGAGGGGAGGGTTGTTTTGTTGCTCCTGGCCAGCAGTGGCTGAGTGGTGCTGCCTGGGCAGGCCGGGCTTGCCGCCCACAGAATGCTGCCCACGACAGGGCCGGAGGGTGGGTGCCTGCAGCTGCTAGCAGTTCCTTGTGTAGTGTGCTGCTGTGACCCAGACAGAACTCTCCTTCCCCAGGCTGCGCAGAACTTGATCGTGCTGGCACGAGAAGAGGCTGGAGCAGAGAAAATCTTCCAGAGTGACGGTGTGCGGCTGCTGCTGCAGCTGCTGGACACAGCCAAGGCTGACCTGATGCTGGCAGCCCTGCGCACGCTGGTGGGGCTGTGCTCCGGCCACCGCTCCCGGGTAGGTGCCACCCACCCCACCGTCCCCTGGGCCCCGGGAAACCCCTGCTGGGGAGGCTGCAAAGGGGACAGGGGAGCCGTCACCTGCCAGGCCTGACCTTGTGAGAGGGAACCATCGTGAGAAGGGGCTGGGGAACGGCAAGGCTTCCCCAGGGCCTCCGGAGACAGGTGTGCTGGTACCTGCAGACCACGGCCATCTTGGCGGAACTGGGGGCTCCCCGTCTGGCGGCGGTGTTGGGTGTGGAGCACGAGCAGGTGTCCCTGGCTGCCTGCAACCTGCTGCACGTGATGTTCGACTCCCTGAAGGAGGGGCTGCAGAAAGACTTCCGTGGGAAGGAGGATGCAGTGGTGCTGGGTGAGTGTGGGCTGCCCTGGCTGGCTGTTGTACGGGGAGAGCCCCAGGTAGGTGCAGAGGTGCCATGGGCTGCCCTGTCACTGCTCCCTGCAGCAAAGCCAGGCTCTGATCCAGGGTTAACAGGAAGCAGAAGCCCCTGGTCATGGCAGCATCTCAGCCAGCTGTACCATGGTGGGGGTGAGGCTGTGCCCAGGGTACTGACTGCTGGGCACTGTCTTTTTCGGAAGATTCCTCCAGGGACCTGAAATTGCTGATCAAGCACCTCCTGGAGATGCTAGTGCTGGAAGGGGCCTCAGCGTATGGCCGTGACAATGCCCTCAACCTGCTCATCAAGGTGGTGCCCAGGAAGTCACCAAAGGAGACCAACAACAGCCTGAGCCTCTGGGTGATTGATCAGGGTTAGTGGAATGGCTAGCACTGTCCTGCTGGGGCATCGTGCTCCTGCACATGCCACTGTGCCCCTCACTGGGCTGTCTGACCTTTCCCAGGCCTGAAGAAAATCCTGGAGGTGGGCAGCACAGTGTGCGGCAGCTTGGGCAGCCTGCCCGTGACAGAGAACAGCCGGATGAGCACCTCTGTTCTGCTGAGCAAACTGTATGAGGACCTGAAGTGTGATGCCGAGAGGGAAAACTTCCACCGTCTGTGTGAGGACTATGTGAGGTGAGCCAGGGTGTCCTGGGAGTGACAGGGTTTTGTCACCTGCAGCCTGGCAGTGCCTGCCACCCTCAGTGCTAAAGCTGAGTGGGGGCCTGCCGCGGGGGAGGTTCAGCAGGTGGGGCAGGAAGAAGCAGGCGGATCATCCTGACCCTTTCTGGTGGTCTTTCCCTGAAGGAGCTGGTTCGAGGGGCACGAGCTGCCGGGGAAGCTGCGGGCCATTCAGACAGTGTCGTGCCTGCTGCAGGGTCCCTCGGATGCAGGGAACAGGGTGCTGGAGCTGGAGGGGATCATGGACAGCGTGCTGTCCCTCTGTGCCTCGGTGTGTGAGGCCCACCAGCTGGTGGCGGTGGAGGCGCTGATCCACGCGGCCGACAAGGCCAAGCGCGCCTCCTTCATCACGGCCAACGGCGTCAACCTGCTCAAGGAGATCTACAAGCACAGCGAGAGGGACAGCATCCGCATCCGTGCCCTCGTGGTGAGCACGCTGCGACAGGGGGTGACAGGGCTGAGCCCTGGGGTGGGCTGTGGGGCACAACCACAGCGCTGCTCCCCGCTGCCGCGGGTCCAGGAGACGCAGCAGGTGGCCACATCCATTCCTGCTCCCACACTCTGTTCCTGGCTGCAGGGGCTCTGCAAGCTGGGATCTGCTGGAGGCACGGACTTCAGCATGAAGCAGTTTGCCGAGGGATCCACCATGAAGCTGGCCAAGCAGTGCCGCAAGTGAGCGGGGCCAGGTGTGGGGGGTGGGCAAGGCGCCCCACAGCTGGGCTCCCTGCAGCTGGGCTGTCCACAGCCCCCACAGCCAGCTCAGGGACCGCTCTCCCAGGTGGCTCTGCAACGAGGCCATCGATGCGGGCACGCGGCGCTGGGCTGTGGAGGGCCTGGCCTACCTCACCTTCGATGCAGATGTCAAGGAGGAGTTTGTGGAGGACAAGGCAGCAATGCAGGCCATGTTCCAGCTGGCCAAGGTGCATACCAAAAGCTGTGGGTGGGCACCCTGGCACCAGGGAAATGTGCTGGAGCAGGTGTGGGGCTCATGCTCTGGGGGGGATGTGTGGGAGAAGCTGGGTGGGCTCCAGTCCTGGCTGCTCCTCCCTGCTGTGAGTGTGATGGGTGCCCACTGTCGCCACAGTCAGAGGACAGGAGTGTGCTCTATGCTGTTGCCTCCACGCTGGTGAACTGTACCAACAGCTATGACCACGAGGAGCCGGACCCGCAGATGCTGGAGCTGGCCAAGTATGCCAAGCAGCACATCCCGGAGCAGCACCCCAAGGTGAGCAGGGCATGGCTGTGCTTGGGAGGAGAGCAGGGTGGGACACAGCCTGGGCTCCAGGTGTGGACACGGTGTCCTTGAGGCCCACAGGGTGGGCTCGGGCAGCTGACCGGGTGCTCCTGAGCCAAGTGTGGCCCTGGCTGTGGACAGGACAAGCCGGAGTTCGTGAAGCGGCGGGTGCGGAAGCTGCTGGTGGCTGGAGTGGTGTCGGCTCTGGCCTGCATGGTGAAGAGCGAGAACCCGGCGCTCACCAGCTCCTGCCGGGAGCTGATCTCCAGGTGCGGGCACAGGGGAGCTGGGTTCCCAGGCTGCTGGCCTCCTGTTGGTGAATTGTGTGCCTGTGCTGAAGGCCAGCTCCTGGACAGTAGGGAGGATGTCCAGGAGTCCGGTGCAGCCTGGGCCCATTGACTATCCGAGTGCTGCAGCTAGTCCCTCTTGGTCCCTAGAGTGTTCCTGGCACTGGTGGAGGAGGCAGAAGACCGGGGTGGTGTGGTTGCTCAGGGAGGAGGCAAGGTGAGAGCATGGACCCCGCTGTGCTTCTGCCCTGCACTGCTCCGGGGGGAGCTGGGGCTCTGTGGTTTAGCAGGGCTGCACTGGCTCCCTTGGACGTGAGGCTGGGGAAAGCTGTGGCTGCCCTGCGTGCTGTGGCCTTGGCCGCAGGACAAGCTGCTGTTTCTGCCCCCAGGCTCTGATCCCACTGTCGCTGGAGGGCACTGAGGTGGGGCAGACCAAGGCAGCGCAGGCCCTAGCAAAGATCACCATCACCTCCAACCCGGAGATGGCATTCCCTGGGGAGCGGGTGAGTGCTGGGGCTGGGTCTGCCAGGCAGGGGCTCAGGTGGCAGCAGCAGTGGTTGTTGACTCAGTCCCATGTGTTCTGTGTCCCCAGATCTATGAGGTGGTGCGGCCCCTGGTCAGCCTCCTGCACCTGCAGCGCACGGGCCTGGAGAACTTCGAGGGGCTGATGGCCTTGACCAACCTGGCTGGCATCAGCGAGAGGCTGCGGTAGGGATGGGGCAGGAGGGCCCCTGGCTGTCCCCTGGCCTGGCAGGCTGCCCAGGCAGGCAGCGCTCACTGCCCGCTTGCCTCCCAGGCAGAAGATCCTGAAAGAGCGGGCCGTGCCCATGATCGAGGGGTACATGTTTGAGGAGCACGAGCTGATCCGGCTAGCCGCCACTGAGTGCATGTGCAACATGGCCATGAGCAAGGAGGTGAAGGCCGGGATGGGCTGGGGTCTGTGCTGGGCTGCTGGACCACCACACCCCCTGACCCCTCCTCTTTGCCCTCGCAGGTGCAGGAGATGTTCCTGGCTGAGGGCAGCGACCGGCTGAAGCTGATGGTGCTGTACAGTGGGGAGGAGGATGAGAAGCTGCGGCGGGCAGCCTCGGGCACCCTGGCCATGCTGACTACCCTGCACCCCGCCATCTGCAAGCGGATTCCCCAGGTGGTGAGTGCACCCTGACACAGCACCCTGTGCCACGTTCCTTCCCTGTGGTGGCCTGGAGCTCTGGCCCCAGAAGACAGGGCAGCCTGCCGTGATTGGGCCCGGCTCTGGGATGGGGCTGTAGCGGGGAGCTGGGACCCTTCTCTCGGGGTCCGTGATGATGTTGGCCCCACGCCCCTGCAGACGGTGCACTGGCTGGAGATCCTGCAGGCCCTGCTGCTGAGCCCCAGCGCGGAGCTGCAGCACCGTGGCGCCGTGGTGGTGATGAACATGATGGCAGCTGCTCGCGAGGTGGCCGAGCAGCTCATCGCCAGCGAGATGCTGGAGATCCTGTCTGTGCTTGCCAAGGACAAGGACAAGCCGCGGGTGGCCCAGGCGGCCCAGGAGAGCCTGGCACACGCCGTGGCTTACGGGCTCATCAAGCCGAACCCCGGCCACGCCTGAGGCCCGCGGGGTGCCTCGCACGCTGCACACGCTGACCCAGGGCGGCCCTGCGGGGCCCGGCTGCACGCGGAGCTGGCTCAGCACGGCCCAGGGCGCGGCCGCCGCTGCCCCGGGCGCGGGGAGGACGGGGCTTGCCGCTCGCTGCCTTTGCCACCGTCTGCCTTAGCCGGGAGGGCCGAGCCGGGGCGGGCCCGGCGCGGCGGAGCCCGGCCCGCCCGGTGACACTAAAGCTACTCTTGGACCACGGCCCGGCCTCTGTCCGTCTGTCCGTCTCTCTGTCCGCCCGCCCGCCCCTCGCCGTCACGTCCGGCCCCTCCTCTCCCGGTTCCGCCCCAGCCATGGCGGCGCCCGGGTGCGTGTGGCTCGCGTTCGGGTTCAGCCCCGAGGAGGCGGCCGGGGAGCCGGGCCCGGGCCCGGGCCCGTGGCGGCTGGAGGCGGGCCCCGAGGGCATCTCCCGCCTGTGGCCCGCCTGGAGCTACGTGGTCGTGGAGACCGGTGAGCGCCCGCGGCCCGCCCGGAGCCCCGGTCCCGTCCCTCCCGTGCCCGCTTCCCCTTGCCGCTCCCCGGGGTGGCGGGCCCCGTTCCCACCGCGCGCTGCCGCGCCGGTCGCCTCGCTTCGTCTCGCCCGCCCCTTCCCCTGACGCCGGTTCCCCCGGGATGGGATTCCCACCGCGCCGGTTCCCCCGGGATGCCCCCCGCTGGTCCCCCGGGGACGTTCCCGTCCCGTCCCCCAGCCCCCGGGCTGTCCCCGTCCCGTGCCCCGGGCTGTGCCGTTGCCGGTGGCTGAGCTGCCGCCGCGGCAGGCGCGGGGCTGGAGGTGCGGAGCGCGGGGCAGCGGCGGGCGCTGCCGGGCTGGGCCGAGGCGCTGCCGTCCGAGACGCACCTGGTGCTGCGGGGCGCGGCTGCCCGGCGGCTTCGCCACGCCGCGGCCGCCGTTCTTCACCGCGCTGCCCGCCGGCCTGCGCGCCCGCCGCCTGGTTCTGGGCACGGAGCACGCCCTGGCGCTGGGCGCCGCCGGCGAGGTCTTCACCTGGGGCGCTGGCAGGTGAGCAGGGGCTGTGGGGACACGGGGTGCCGCAGAGGGACGGCAGCGGGCGGGCCTTCAGTACGCTGTGCTGGGATGGAGAGAGAGTGACGGGGATGCAGAAGGGATGTGGGGGATATGGGGAGCCTTTGGGGGGAGCGCAGGTGGGAGGGTGTGGGAATGGGGGGCTGAGCCCCCATTAGCCTGCGCACACTGCCTGGCGCCAGGATGTGCCTCCTGACTTCCCCGTGGGGTGCACTTGGGAATGTTGTGCACAGCTGGGAGAAGTGTCGGGGTACCAGCGTATTGGGGTAGCAGCTGCAGGTGCCCAGTGCTCACCCACATGCTGCTGGGATCTGTCTCTCACCACAGCCAGGTCCCCCCAGCACAGGCATCCCAAATCGTGGCTGCTCTTGGGGCCTGCTGCCCTCACCATGCCCCTTTCCCCACTGAGTCCACCCTCGCTGGCCCCATGGGCAGCCCTGTCTCCTCTCTGGGTGCTGACTCTGGCCCCTGCCCTGACGTTTGGCTCCCTCAGGGCAGTCTCCGAGCACGCTTGGGTCTCTGTGCGACCATCAGGTCCCTGCTCTGTCCCTGCTCCTCTGTAACTTGCCTCACAGCACCAGCTGGCAGCAGAGCTCTTGTGTTTCTGAGCTGGAGATTGAGTCCATCAGTGTGTGACAGTTCAGTGCCAGGTCCCTCTGGTGCAGCCTGTGGGAGGGGAGTGAACCCCTTGGGAAAGCCTCCAGCCCCAGCGCCCTGTGTCCCTGCCAGCAGCTGAACTTGGGTGCATTTAACAGCTGGTGGCACTGCTCAGTTTATTCTCACAAAGGTGTTTCTTCTTGTATTTGTTTTGGTTTAGGGTAAATTTGGGGAGGAAATTTCTGAGTGGGGTTCTTTTAGAAAGTAAATTCAAGTGCCTCCTCCCCTAAATTGGTTTGGGGAAAGATTTCTCTGTAGAAAAGTGGAGAATACCTGTTTATTTAAAAAGCAAAGCATTCAAAAGTATTAAAAATGAATAATACTAAACAAAAAAAAATTTGCTGTTCTGAAGAAATGGCAAATTTAGAAAGGTTTTTTTGTGAGGTGTAGGTTGGCTTGCTTAGTCTTTTATTAGTCTTTCTGGTTTTGGAATGCAGCATCCTAGGCTTTGGGGGTTTATAGGTGTGGTGCTCTTTTGGGTTTTCTTTTCTCTTGCTGTTATTTTGGGTTTTCAGTTTAGAGTAGGTTTGAACACATAGTCTAGGGAACTTCACTGCCTCAGCTAGCTAAAAAAAATTGACTAAAAGGAAAAGTAGCTCTTTCTCCTGCTGTTTGTGCTGCAGATAACACAGTCTAGGAGAAGGGTGTGGGGGAGTGAGGTAGCTAAAAAAAATTGACTAAAATGAAAAGTAGCTCTTTCTCCTGCTGTCTGTTTGTGCTGCAGATAACACAGTCTAGGAGAAGGGTGTGGGGGAGTGAGTGCAGTTTTTGAAAACAAACCCTGTGTTTCTTTTTCCTCCCTTTGCTCTCAGATCAGTCTTGAAAGCACAGAACTTAATATCCAGCATAAAGAGAACAGATGACTGGGGACACAAGCATCATAAAGTCACTCTAGGGCAGTTGTTCACTGGGGGGTTGTCTGTGTATTTGCTGCCCCAGTCAGGTTTTCCCAGAAGGTGCTGGAGAGCCCAGCCCAGGTGCCCCTGCCCTGTGTCCCTGAGTTCTGCTGGTGCATGATGAGGCTCGGCCATGGCAGCTGGTTGTTCTCATGTGTGGAGTGTGGAAGGGTTGCTCTGTTCCTCTTTGCTACTTAAGGAAGACGAACGCAGCCCAGGTCACCTGTCGCAGAGCTGCGTGCCCGGCCCAGCGCCCTGGCTGCTCTCATCGCTCAGGAGTGTTTCACTCCCAGCCCCTGCTCCTGCTCGCTGCTCTGGGCTCGCTGGTGCCAAGCACGACACTGTTTACATCAGCAGCTGTTGCTTTGCCAGCACTGCATTATTTGGTCCTTCCTGCCTTCCCTTCAGAGGAGAGGTTTCTACACGTGGGGATGTGTACTTGAGGATGAACTTTTTTGGAACTTGGTTTCAGCACAGCTGAGAATCCTCTCATGCCTGCCCGTGCCAGTGTGTCCCACCGTGTGGCAGCTGTGCTGTGTGACAGCCAGGTGCTGGCCCAGCCCCTTGTAGCCCCTCTCTTACTGCTGGCTGTGGTCACCCTTGCCCTCTCGGGAGGGAGTGCCCAGAGCCACTTTCCTATTGCAGCGTGCCCTTCCCTGCCCCTCGGCAGCTCTCAGTCTCTGCTCACTCCTCTGCAGATTTCCCGTATGGAATGTGAACAGCCTTCACAGCTGTTGACATCCTGAGCTGTCACATTGAAGCTCCCCAGACCAAACAAGCATCACTCTGCAGCTGAACTGCTCCTCTCACCCCTACAGCTCCTGCCAGCCCCTGCTGCTTCTGTCCCATGTTGGACAGCTAAAGCCCCTGGTGCTGTGTCCCACTGCTGCCCACTGACCCCGGCTGTGGCTGTGGTGGTCTGGTGCTGGGCATCACTGTCCCACTGCTGCTTGGCTTCTCCCTGTTCCCGGGGCTGCTCCCTCAGCTGCTCGGGCTCTGCCAGCCTGGGGCGGGTTGGTGGCAGCAGGAAGGGGGCTGTGGGCGGGAGGCACGGGAGCTGGGGGCAGTGGGCAGGGGGTGTGTCTGTGTGTCCCTGCAGGCACGGGCAGCTGGGCCACGGGCTGCTGGAGTCGGAGCTGCAGCCGCGGCTGGTGGAGGCGCTGGCCGGGGTGCCCATGCGGGCGGTGGCGGCCGGCGGGTGGCATTCGGCCAGCGTCAGCGGTGAGGGGCTGGGCGGGGCGGGCGGTTGGCCGTGCTGGTGGCACCTGGCGCGGGCAGCGTGGGCTGTTGGTGGCCCTGGAGCAGCCGGTGCCGCCAGCGCGCGGCCCAGGGCTAAGCTCTGCCTGTGTGCCCAGAGGGAGGAGACCTGTACGTGTGGGGCTGGAACGAGTCGGGGCAGCTGGCTCTGCCCTCCAAAGCGCTGGCAGAGGAGCGAGCGCGAGCTGAGGACACGGGCACAGGTGAGTGCTGCTGCCAGGCTGAGGGCAGGGGCCGGGTTCCTGCACAGCCCCAGCAGTGCGGGTCAGCCTGCGAGCAATGCTGCTGCCCCCTCTCCTGCAGGGAGCACCGAGCTGACGGCCTGCCGGGAGCAGATGGCTGCCCGGGATGCTGCATTCATCTCCATCCAGGCGTTCCCGGCGCTGCTGGATCTGCCACAGGACCTGGAGGTCAGCATGGTCAGCTGTGGCTCCCGACACACGGCCGCTGTCACGCGTGAGTGTCCAGCAGGGCAGGGGTGCTGAGAGGTGCCGGCTCACCAGGGCCTCGCCAGGACTGTGGGGCTGCAGCTCACGGGCGCTGCCTGATGGTGCTGTCCCTGTTGCAGGAGGCGGGGAGCTCTACACCTGGGGCTGGGGTAAGTGGCACCTCTGCTTTGGGGCTGTACAGCCTGCCCAGGAGCAGCTTCTGGTTCCTGTTCTCTCGCCCTGGGCTCTCCTGTCGCTGTACGAGTCCTGTCTGTGCTGGGGCTCCTGTGTTCCCGTGATGTCACGGCTGTGTGTCTGCAGGTAAATACGGACAGCTGGGGCACGGGAACAACATCAGCTCTGACCAGGCACGCCGCGTGGAGCAGCTGGTGGCGCGGGGGCTGCGGGTGGAGGAGGTGGTGTGTGGGCCCTGGACCACCTACGTACGGGTGCGGGAGCCCTGAGGGGCCGGCGCCGGGGGTGCTGCTGGATGGGGATGGGGACAGGCTCTGCCCGCAGCTCCGCTCCGTGCTGGGCCAGGGCAGGCAGGCCCTGCGGCACAGGAGGGGCTGGGTTTGGCCCGCAGTGACCTGGTTCACAGGCCGGCGTGGGGCTGCAGCTGCCTCAGGGCCGGGACACCCTGGGGTGGGCTGGATGTGTTCATTAAATTCACTTTTCCACGAGGGCTGCGGTGTTGCTGTGTGTGAGGCGTGTTCCAGCTCCAGGGGGGCTGTGCTGGGCTGGGTTTGTGTGGGCACGGTGCTCCTTCAGGGGTGTTTGCAGAGCAGCTGCACACAGCTGAGCATCGAGCAGGACGCACAGCTGCACGTGGGACCCACGGCGGTGTCCCAGACCGTGTGGCATCATGCCGGACTGGGAAGGGGAGGACAAGAAGGAATGGGGGATGCTCAGAGCAGTGGTGGTTTTGTCCAAGTTTCCATTACCGTGAAGACTGGAAAGGGGAGGACAGGAAGGAATGGGGGATGCTCAGTGGTGGTTTTGTCCAAGTTTCCATTACCGTGATGGGCCCTGCTGCCCTGGGGAGGCTGAGCACTAGGCGGAAGGAGGGAATGAGTTCTGGGTTTTGCTTGTTCTGTGTTTTGCTTCCCACACCGAACTGTCATCTCATGTCACAGGTTTTCTGTTTTTCACCCTGTGCTGGCCTCCACAGTCGTGGTGGGCGGTTCAGAGGGGCAGGTGGGGAGAGCAGGCAGCTGGGAGGGGCTGCGGCTGTTTGCTCGGCAGGAAAATCCCTTCTGGTCAGGGGCTGGGGCCGGGCTCTGGCTCGGCTCCGGTCTGAGCCGGGTTTTGGCTCGGCTCGGGTCTGGGCCGGGTTTTGGCTCGGGTCTCAGCCGGGGTTTGGCTCGGGGTTTGGCTCGGGTCGGGGCCGGGTTTTGGCTCGGCTCGGGTCTGGGCCGGGTTTTGGCTCGGGTCTCAGCCGGGTTTTGGCTCGGGTCTGGGCCGGGTTTTGGCTCGGGTCTCAGCCGGGTTTTTCGCAGCCGCTCCAGGCGCGGAGGGGATCGGCGCTTCAGCCTGTTCGGCCAATCCGGATTCGGATTGGACTGCTCCTTCAGCCAATCCGGATTCGGTTTGGCTCGGGTCGGGGCCGGGTTTTGGCTCGGCTCGGGTCTGGGCCGGGTTTTGGCTCGGCTCGGGTCTCGGCCGGGTTTTGGCTCGGGTCTCGGCCGGGCTTTTCGCAGCCGCTCCAGGCGCGGAGCGGATCGGCCAATCAGGATTCGGATTGGACTGCTCCTTCAGCCAATCCGGATTCGGATTGGGCTGCTCCTTCAGCCAATCCGGGTGCGGATTGAAAGTGCAGGGATTTTTATTTTAGCCAACCAGGAAATGATTGGACTTCGGGTCTCGGCCGGGTTTTGGCTCGGGTCTCGGCCGGGCTTTTCGCAGCCGCTCCAGGCGCGGAGCGGATCGGCCAATCAGGATTCGGATTGGACTGCTCCTTCAGCCAATCCGGATGCGGATTGAAAGTGCAGGGATTTTTATTTTAGCCAACCAGGAAATGATTGGACTTCTCCCTGTTTAACCAATCACCGCACGGATTGAAGGGCCAGCCCTTTCAGCCAATCAGGCCGTGGCGTTCCAGTTTGGCCAATCAGGACAGACTGGGGCTGCTGGACTTGGCTTGAAAAGCTGCAGCCCGGTTTCTGATTGGCTTAGCTCCTAGCCACGCCCCCATCGCCGGCTGCCCCGCCCCTCCCATCGCCGCCGCCCGGCAGGGACCCCAGAGGCGGCGGGGCTGTACAAGGACTTTATTCACAACATCTAGAAATCTTTTTTAAATAAAAGCACATTTCCGAAGCAGCAGCAGCCGCGGGGAGCGCTGTGCGGAGCGGGGGGTGCTGCAGGGCTGCGTCACGCGGCATTGTTGGTGGTGGAGTTGAGAACGCGGGAGGTGCTGTCAAAGCTGGAAGCCTTTGAAAGTTGGCGCTGTGGAAACAAGAGGTGTGGATGAGGGAAGGGAGGGGGCTGCAGCCTCACAGCTCAGAGGGGACACAGAGAGGCAGGCCAGGCTGCCCGAGGGAGATGGAATACAAATTAATACGGGAGCTATGAAACTTGCAGCCAAGGAACATTAATGTCTTTCTTTACTAAAATGTATAAAGAGTAAAAGCTTTCGGTAGTGTCACACAGTGATAATTCTCAGGCTCAGCCCAGCCTGATGGGGGGACAGAGGCTGTCCAGGGCCCCCCACGCGGAGAGAGGAAAGCAGCCCCCCTGGAGCCCCAGCGCTGCTCAGGGCCCCTGCCACCAGCGCTGTTAGAAGCTGTCACGGGGAGCCACGGGCAGGGGCAGGAGCAGCCACCCCCGAGGGACACGGGGAGGAGCAGAGGTGCCGTGCAGCGAGAGGGGTGGGGTTAGAAGAGGTGAATTACCGCAAACTCAGAATAGGTGCTGGCAACAGAACTAACGCTGTGGTTACGCTGGGCAGGGGCTCTGGGGGTGCACCCACCGCTCAGGGTGGTTCCGTCCAGCTGGGACATGTTCTCCTTGTTCTGCTCCCTCAGCCTGCGTCGCGGGGGCTTCACTGCCGCGCGGGTGGGGGTCCGGGCCCGGCTGAACTGTGGGGGGGACAGGGGAGGGATGCAGGAACTGAGCAGAGGCGGCTGCAGTGCCCATCACTCTGAGGAGCCAGAGCAGTGCCAGGCTCCAGCAGCTCTCCAGACTGGGGTCCAGTTCTGGCCCCTGAAACATACAGCACAGAACGACAGAATCCTGCAGCGATGTGGGTGGGAAGGGACGTTAAAGCCCATCTCGTTCCACCCCCTGCTGTAGGCAGGGATGCCACTCACTAGACAAGGATGCCCAGCCCTGGCTGGCAGCACACACACATGCTGAAGGTCCTTCAAGCTGCAGGCTCAGCACTAAGGAAGAGGTGTACTAGAAATCTGGGCTGGAGGAAGATTTCCTGGCCCCCTCCTCCCTCAGGTCCCAGGAACACCCCAGCAGGATGGCAGCAGCCCCACAGGGCAGATACAGACAAACAGGGGCCTCTGTGCCCCACGAGCTCAGCAGGGGAGGCGGTGACCCACGGGTGACAGCAAGGAGAGCTGCAGCACCACACCCAGCCATCCCCCCGGCCCCTCACCTGCTTCCCGGAGGGCGGCAGCCGCGAGGTGGGCGAGTGGGAGATGGCTGCCCCGAGGGCTGAGCGCACCGTGCTGTTGGAGGCGGTGCTGGCGCTGGAGGTGCCGTGGAGCTGAGCAGGAGGCAGGGCACGCGTCACACAGGACACCCCTCCTCCCTTCCCGTGCGGCTGCAGCACCCCGAACCCGCGGGGCGAGGGCAGCCCGAGGCTGTGCCCAGCCAGGCACAGAGCTCTGCTCCGGGCACCCAGCCCTCCCCACTGCTCCGCAGGGCCGTTTTACCTTGCTTACTTTGGCAGGCGTGTGGGGGCTGAGCATGCGGCGCTTGATGGGCGTCCGAGGGGCGCTGCCGTAGAGCATCTCCGCCTCCATCTCCCGGCTCTTCTTCAGGTGCTGTGGGACACGCCCGCACTCACCCTCTGAGCCCCGCTGTGACACTGACGCTGCCAGTGGCACTGCCCTGCTGGCAGCTGGCACAGCCACGCAGCAGGACTGCAGCAGGCATTTACAGCTGTGCAGAGCCAAGCGTCACCGCTGGCACAGCGGGGGCCACAAAGGGGCTCGGCCCAAGCAGCTGTGGCAGCAGTGGGCACCAGCCCCCCTGCCTGCTGCTTCCAAGCTGGGAATGAGCTGGCAGAGCCTGGCGCCCAGCAGGGACGGCCCTAGGCTGGCGTGAGGCAGGAGCCAGGGACGCTCCCAGGCAGAAGCCAGTGTGCTCAGCTCTGTACTCACCCGCTCCTGCTTCTCCTTCTCCTTCTCCAGACGGTACTGCTGCCACTGCTCTGACACATACTCCATGAACTGCTGCCCCTTCACCAGGAAAGCTCCCTTGAACTCCTCCTCCCAGGTCTGGACCTTCCTCTCGAGCTCCTCCTGCAGCTGGTCAGGACATGAGGGCAGTGTAGGGCTGCCCTGAACCCAGGTGTCCCCACACCCAAAGACCCCTTTTCCTCTGTCAGTGGGACCACAGGTCCTTCACCAGGGCTGGACCTACCTTAGACAGCGTCTTCTGCAGCTTTGCTCTCTGCTTCTCCTCCTTCAGAAGGTTTCCTCCTCGATTGGTGAAGCGACTGGGGTCATTTGCTTTGCGCTGGTAGAGAAGGGTGGTCAGGAGAGACACGAACACACCACCCAGTCCCCTCAGCCTCTCATGGTGAGGGCCCCAGAGCAGGCAGCCCTGCACAAGCACCCCAGTGCTCGAAACACAGCACCTCATCCCTGCTCTGGCCCACCATGACTGCCCAGTGGCTCCCTGCTCCTTCCCAGAGCGCTGTCCCACGGGAGCAGAGGTACACACTGCCCCATGACCTGCACGCTCCTGCCTGGACAATACCTCCAGCTCCAGGAACAGCTTCCAGCTCTCCTCCCACTTCTGAACAGCCTCAAACAGATCTTTGTGTGTTTCATAGTAGGTCTTCATCTCGCCCACCTCAGCGTCATGCAGCTCGAGTAGGGTCTCTGTGTAATCCTCTAGAAGGGCACAACTGCCAGGTCAGGGGGCTGCTGGAAGCCCTGGGATCCCTCCCCAAATCTGCCTGGCCAGCCAGCACCCACCATCATAGAAGGGGCTGAACCTTTCCCTCTGCTCCTGGCTGTAGAAGCATTTGTCCCAGTAGTCAGCCAGCTCTGCCCGGATTGCGTGGATGACGGATTTCATGTTCTGCAGCTTCAGCTCCTCCAGACGGTCCACTTCCTGCTGCAGCTGGCCCCGGAGAGAGCACGGGTCAGGAGGAACAGGGGGAGAACAGGCTTCATCTCCTGCGTGAGCCGCTCTCTGGAACGAGGCGCCTGCCAGCACCAACCTCCAGCTCCAGATTCTGCCTCCTCCCTCCACGAAGGCAGGATTTGCCCTGCTCCCCTCACCGAGCAGCCAGGAGCACGAGAGCCCCCGAGCTGCTGCCCCAGCCCTGCCCCCTGAGCACAGCAGGGCTCTTACAGCTCTCCTGGTTCGGACTCTGGAGCCAGCCAGGTGCACGGCCGAGGACTCTCTCTCCTCCTGCGGGATCTGCAGCCGCTCCCAGAGCGCCAGGATCCGCGCGCGCAGCTCCGTGCACACCGCCTCGTTCAGGGCCCGCCGGGCCTC